GCTTTGGTCACCCCAGGAGCAGGGCTTGGCCACCCTCCCCAGCTCTGGAACAGCTGCTGGGGTTAGAGGTTAGTGCATTCCCGCCTTCTTGAACTGGACCAGAGTCCAGCTGGGAATCAGGGAAGACGAAACCCACCTCTGCACCCTCAGGGTCGCGGGGTCTTCCTCCCCATCCCTCCTCCTAGGGGACGCTTAGCTTCTTGCTCTCCACAGATGTCCTGAGGACCCAGGCGTGGCTCCAGTTGTGTGGCCGTCCACTGCTGTCTCCATGCGGACCTGAGATGGGGCTGTGGCTCATGGGGCTGGGATGTCCTCCCAGGGCTCCTGAGGCAGAGGCTTGGTCCTCCAAGTGACCCAGGCAGGGGGCCTTCAGTGGGCGGAGCCTAGTGGGAGGTGATGAAGTCACCAGGTGCTGTCCAGGGAAGGCCTTGACATGGTCCTCGTGAGACTCTGCTGAGTGCTTGGGAAAGCATTGCCATGAAGGAGCAGGCCTGGCCCCTGCTGGTCTCTGCAGCTCCCTGGCTCCCGTGTCATCTCTCCCTCTCACACACACACTTGCTACGTGCTGCCATTGGCCAAGAGCTGGTGTAGCCAAAGAGGCCCTTGCCAGAGCCACTGCCTTGCTCATTTCCAGCCTCCAAACTGAGCTGAACCTTTTTTACATACATAAAGCACCCATCCTTAGGCATTTTGTTATAGAAATAGAAGAAGGCCTGATACAGATGGAGTACCCTTATCTCCATTTTACAGATGGGGAAAGGGAGTCAGAAGGGACAGAATGACAGCCAGTAAGTGGAGAGTCACTTCCAAGGCCTGAGGCTCTGTGTGATTTGGGCCCATCTCTCCAGGGAGCTCTTTCCCCTAAAAGATGCCCTTTGTTCTGAGTACCTTTTTTCTGACCTTCCACCTGCTGCAGGGACAAGTCTCTAAACCTCCTGAAACTCAGTGCTCCAGATATCCACAGTGGGATGAAAACAGCAGCCACCGCGCCTGTCTATCTTTATTCAGAAGTTCAAAGGAGGCGTTGATTGACATGTGTCTCAGTGGTGTTCAGCTGTGTCTGGGGAGGCTCTCTGGAATTTAGGTGAGTTCCAACCAGCAGAAAGTGCTTTCCCTCCCTCCTCCCAGGGAGCCAGCCGTTCACACAGACTGAGAGCCTGTGTCCACCCCCAAACAGACCTCATGAAGTAGAGAGTTGTAATGATCCTAACGTGATGGCTGCTCACCCAACCTCAGTCCGTGAGCGGCAGATGCTTGCTAGGATTCTGGAGCACCACGGAACTGTAAGGAAATAAAGAAAGAGGATCCTCTTGACCAAAAAGGAGTTCCTAGCAGCTTCTCTCTGGAGTAAGCAATCCATTCCCAGGAAGGGGGAAGGACAGGAGTGTGGCATAGTTCAAGGTCACATCCACACCTTCACATTTGACCGGGCCATGTGCTACCCTCACAAAGAGGTCAATTTATTCCAACAGCAGTTCTCTGCTTCAAATAATGTTTGACTCTAATGGAGTTCTGATGTCAGACTCAGGAAATCCAAACAGATTTTATCTAGTATAAAACTTGATCTTTCAAAACTCCAGGGAATTCCAACTTGCCAACTGCTAATTGATGCAAACTCTCTGCTAAGGAAATATTGATCACATGCCAATAAAACATGGGGTGGCAGAATTACATTTTAAAGCCTGATGCTTTAGTACTCTTGTGTTTATAACAAACAGAGGAGCAAAGCTGTCAGTCTTGCTGGCCAGGCTCAAGGAGCTGGGGTGGCCTTCTAGAAGATTCCCCTTAAGGCAGTGGTTCACAAAGAGGCTTCCAAGTGTTCAGCAATCTCAGATTATCTTCCTCTAGCTGGAAACATTCAGCTTCAGATTTTTACCTAAGTGTTTTGTGGGAGAGGAAAAAATTCCAAGTGTCATTATGACTATCCCCTTGAGGATTCATGAACCGGACAGAATAACAAGACAAATCCGGTAAATGGCTCTGCTTGAAAGAGGAGGGGAGGCAGTGCAGCCGGGGCCTGTGTCGTGCACCAGGAGTGCCAGAGGAGAACTCAGCAACCTGGCTCAACCCAACTGTCCCTCTGAGACTGGCGGAGAGGGGGGTTCCGGGGGGGGGCTCACACTCAAGCCTCTGTGCATGCAGAGCTCATGAGCAGGGGTGGACCCCCATGGAGGTCCACTGGGAGAGTACCAGTGAGGGATTCCGCAAGGATTGACTTCAGATGCACCAGGTAAGGGCCCACTGGTGACCAGAGGCTGGCTGGAGATGTCCAAAACGTGACTCCTCCCTTCCCGTGTGCAGGCTCTGCCTCCAGCCCCAGCAAAGGCCTGGCCGGGGCTGCAGGCCATGTGCATACCCTGAGGCCGGGCAGAGCCCTATGCTGCTGTGCTGCTTCTGACTGTTTGAAAATGCTGCGTGGGGGACTCTGGATGCGCTCCGGGACAGGTGCGATCAGCTAACTTTCACCATCATTTTCAAAAACAAACAACACTTCCAAGAGAACCTTTCCAGGTGAAATTACAGGAAGATCGAATTCTGCACAAGTTACAGAAATTAACTTGAATTATAGAAAGATTGGATTTTGCAACTAATGAGAGGAAGGGTGCTGGGCCATGCTCTTGTTCCCGAGGAGGCCTGACGGAGTGGAACTGCTGCAGGTGGTTCAGACATCTCTTCCCTGTTTAAAGGCCTCAGGATTTATTAGAGCTGGTGGACTCCCCCTCCCCGGGCACAGTCCACCCTCCTCAGCTCATAGGGGAGACAACTGCGGTCCCCTCTAGTGGCTTCCGGGGGCTGCAGGCCAGGTGGGGACAGAGCCTAGTGGAGTCTCCCAGCCCTTCCTGCCCACCCAGCCTCCCTTCCCCAGCTGCTTCGAGGAGCCACATGGAGGTCAGCCTCTGTGGCCCTCAGCGCCCGGGAGCCTTCACCAGTGCTGGATGTGAGGGAAGCAAAGGCCCCTCCACTGCCCAGGAGAGCTGCAGGACACCACCCAGCTCCATGGGAGAGGTGAACTTCGAACACCTCGAGTCTCTGAGGTCTTAAGGGCTGCTGCCATCTTCATTACCCGTCCGAATCATGACATCCTCTATGAGACGTCTGTGTGGGGCCCTATGTTGACCCTCTTTCATGAGAACTCAGTTTTCGTAAAGGGTTGAACCCTGTGTCCCTTTGGACACGGATCACATTTCCCAATCTCAGTTATCAGTCTACAGTGGAAGAGAAGCCGCAGGATTCTCCACAATGTAGAAAACAACCCGTGGCTCAACAGGCGGGTGCTGCCAATTGACTTTGCTCATGAAGATCCGAAGCTGGGACGGAATCCAGCCCATCACTCGGTTTGGGTTGTCTCCGCATGAGGTTCCCTTTGCCTGAGATGCCTTTGCCCCTCTTCTCTCCTGGCAAGAGCCCACCAACGTTTCCTGGTCCAACTCAAATGTCAACCCTCCTTTGAAGTCTTGCCCCAGCCGCCCCAGGCAGACCTCAACAGTCCTCCTCTCTGTCCTCCCAAAGGTCAGTGATGACCTCGTGGTTGGCAGACCCAGGGTCTCCAGCCTCCAGTCGTCCAATCTCCTTGGCATACGTTAGCATTGAATGCTCCCTCTTTGTTTAAAAACTCTCTCTTCTTTCAGTTTCCGAGGCTCTGCTCCCGTGGGTTCCCTGCCTGTCTTCCTCGGGACTCCCCGCGGCTCCTCCCGGGCTCCTTCCACAGCATGGAGTCTCCGTGCTGCGGCGCTGACTATACCCTCACTGCACAAAGCAGCTAGGAAATAATCCATGCTCTCCCGGGGCTTCCACAGTCAGCAGTTAGCCAGTGACGTCAAGGGATCTCCTTCCAGCTCGGCTCTCTCTCTGGCTGCAGCCCCATGTTTCCAGCTGTCCAGTGGAAATGCCCCCTGGATAGGCCGGTGCCTTCGTCCCCACCAGCCTGCATGCCCTCCCTCGCTCCTGGCATCCTCTGTAGAGGGCACATACCCACTTCCCCCGCTCCATGTACAAGGTCTCCCCAATTCACCTTAACAGGTGCTTTAGGCAAAGGCAGGAACAAGCATGGGCTTTGGTGCGGAGACTTAATTTCAAAACCGGACTCAACCACTTACTAATTAGATGGTTTGCACCTAGTTACTGAATCTCTCGGGTTTTCATTTCTGATCTGTAAAATAGGGATATTGATTAAATATGCAACCCTCGTGGAAACACCGGAAATAGCCAGAAGCTCACCAGTTTGGGTCTTTCCTCCCAGCACAACCACACTCCACCACCCTGGAGCACCGTGGGCAGTTCCCAGCTGCATTACCGCAGCGGCCACGTGACGGCCTCCTCCACCTCCCTGCCCCTCCCTGCCCCACCCCATGGGGTTCTTTATTTTATTTTTTCTTTGAAGCACTGCACCCCATGCCTTTCTCAAATCAGTCCCATCGCACCCGGCTGAAAGCTCCGGCTGGACCCCACAGATAACAGCTCCTCATCTAGGCCCTGTTCCTCTTCATTCCCCAACCACCTCCTGTCTGTGCTGGTGACTGCCCTTCTGATTGCAAGGCATGGAAAGTTGCTGCAGCTAGATTCATGAAGGAGACATGTCCTGCGAGTGTCCATAAGTCCAGGACAGGCAAGACCCTGAGCCATGCACACCAGGCCTCTCTGTCCACTGCAAAGCCTCAGACCAACTTCTGGCCCCAAAGTATGGAATTCTGGGGAAATGTAATAAAAGAAACTTTTTGGTCTCTCTACATGTTTGAAATTTAAAAAGGAATTGCCAGGAGTCAGAAATAAGGATTCAAGTTCAGAGCAGTTAATGGGGGAGGAAGCCGGGGGAGTTAAGAGAACACAGGCCTGGGACCAGCCCCCCTGCAGAGACCAGGGAGGACCGGATCTCACTGCAGATCCAGCTCATTTTCACCCAAAATACAGCCTCTCTTTCCATCTTAGCAGAGTCAGTCCTTGTTCCAAGCAACACAACAAATTAAACCAAAAGCAAGCTACACAATGACAGCCTCTCCCACCTTCAGCCTCCTCCTATCTTGCCTCCCGATTCCAGGAGGGAGACGCCTCTGGAAGCTGGCAGGGGCCCTGAGAATCCTTCTCGTCACAGCCACAGGCCTGGGCCCTTCACGCAGCACTCCTGGATCCCTGCCAATCCCTAGCAGGTTGCTCCTGTGACAAGAATGAGGGACGAGAAGGGGAAATATTCAGTTTCAACTTTTAGGTGCAATCTCTGTCTTTCATAATGACTGTCACTAAAGCAAAAGCGACAGATCTCTAGCATTTGCTAATTCTGAGTGATGGCTCCATGGTGTCTGTTGAAATTTCACCTTTACAATTATGATAATTTTTACTTATAAGATTAAAACCCAAAGAAAGTAAAGAATCCCAGTGTACCAAGGGGCCCTCTTGAGAAGGGGAGCCGGGAAGTGGCAGGCTTGAGGTCTCACAGGGAGGAGCAGATAACGGCAGAACCCTGCCCAGGCCTCTCCCCGCTCATCTGACTTCCTCTGCTCCCCCGTGGCTCACGCACGACTTTGCACACCACAGCTCACCCTCAGCCCCGGCCTCAGCCCCTCCTTGCACGCACACTCGCTCCCAGCTCCCCCAGATAAACGGCAAGAGTGTCTTGTTCCTGATTCTAAACCCCTGAGCGACGACTGGCTTGGCTCTCTCATCTTTCAGTCAAGGTCACGAGTCACAGAACTAGCCACAAGCTGGCCGCTTTGACATCAGACAGCCCTGGCACAGTCAGTGTGAGCAAGGGCACAGTGCTGGGGCTCTGCGGCGGCAGGGGCCATGACCGGGATAGGATGGTCATTTTCCAAGCACAGGCTCCATGTGGGGATTCCCGCTCCTCACAGCAGGCCCCGCTGTCCCCCTCACCTCCTCTGTTGGGGAGGGACAGCTCAAACACCTCTGTAAAGCCACCTGGTCCTTGGGCAGCACCTGGTTGCTCCCTGTGGCCCTGTCAACGCTTCAAAGGGTCTTCCTGCAGGACACTCTTGCACGTTGGGTCAGAGCCGTCGGTTTGCTCGTGTGTTCCCTTTCCTAGAGAATGAGTTGTGCCAAGGCACGGGCTGTGCTGAGGCTGTCCTTGTCTTCCCAGGGCCCACAGAGACCCATCACTTGATAAGCCAGCCGACATGCACTGGCTCTGTCCCATCTAGGAGGCACCCGACAGAGGCCCTGTAATGGTCACTCACGGGGTCCCAGTCTGTATCTGGCCTCCTGGATTCACACTTACTAATAAACTTCAGAGACCCACCTGGCAGGTGAGAGAGGTGGGAACATTCGAGAGCTGGTGAAGGGGGCTCCAGCAGGGAAGGAGGTCTCCTCATGCCAGAACACTGTCCACATCCCAGCCATCACCAAGGACACAGCCAGGACCACACCAGCCTCCGTGAGTTCCCGTGGACTCTGCAGGCTGGGGCATGGCTACAACTCTTCCATGCTCCACGTGGCTTCAGAGGTACAGGTAGAGGTGCCCACTCTGAGAATAAGAAATCCGAAAGCTCCAAAATCTGAAACACTTTGACAGCAACCTGATGTCACCAGTGGAAAATTCCACACAATGAAATTTTTTGGCCAGCATAGAATTATTAAAGTTATGGTACAACATTACCTTCAGACTGTGGGCAGAGGGCGTATGTTGTTTAGACTTGGGTCCCATGCCAAAGACACTTCGTTGTGTCTATGCAAATATTCAAAAAAAAAAAAAAAAAGAGAGATTTCCAAAGCACTTCTGGCCCCGAGTGTTTTGGGTAAGGGATATTTGGCCTGGGTACATGTCTACGGCTCCCAAGTGCTCAGCCGGGGTCACTCCTCTTGTTCTTTTCCTGCAATCTGCGTCCTCGCTGAGAAAGAATGGTGGCCCCTGGGCTTTGAAGTTCCATCTGAGGCCCTCTCTGGGGACCAGCTGCACATGTCCCGAGGGCCCTGGCACGGACTGCCAGACGGAGGGCTCTGATCCACCCTGCAGGCTGATTCCATTGTCCTGGAGCAGGGCCACCCCTGCACAGGAAGCCCTGTGGATCACGCTGCTCTGAGGGCAGAGACCTTGCAAAGTCCTTCCTATGACTGATAAACACTGTTTGGTTTGGATCAAGAGGAAAAATAAGGCACTTGGGATAATAGAGGCGGATGGGAAAACACTCGGGACTCCAAAACGAGAGCAGAAGGAGGCTCTTGCTTTGAACGCTCCTGTGGTAACTGACGAGGAACAATCGCGCTGGTCAGAGGAGCTTCCTTCCACCCAGCTGCAGTCAAAGCCCAGGGTTCACGGAGGCCAGAGAACTGGCAGGAGCTGTGTTTTGGCTTGGGGAGAACAAACGGGCTGGTGCAGGAAGCCAGGCCCCCTTCAAAGGACAAGACCTCAGGGCTCCGATGACTTCACTGCAGCAGCTAGCAAGGAGAGGGGTCCCTCATGTGGCACAGTGACCCTGGGCAGCTCAGAGGAAGAAAAGGCAGATGGCCAGGCTTTGTCAAAGCGGAGGCTCCCTCTAGACAATGCCGTGGTAGCACCTGTGTCTTCCTGGTGGCAGGTGGTGGCTGTGTCCCCCTTCTCCAGGGTGTTGGGACAAAACATCTGTGTCTGATGAGTTAACTTAGGGACACTGCAGGGGACACAGAGCTGCATGGTGAGGGGACTTTGGAGACTGTGAGGAGCAGGGAGGAGGGGGCTGGGCCAGGGGAAGCCATGGGCCAACACAGACCGTTGGGGGAGCTATGCTTAGGAGGTATGAGTTGGGCCTTTTCTCCTCCATCTAAGAAACTGTGCTGTAGGTTTGGGCAAAATCTGTCCTTCCGCCTGTACACTGGGACGGCATTTGTTTTGTGGGATGCCAACTGGGGACTCTGGTGGGTGTGGAGTGGGAGCTGAGCTGTCTGTGGCCTGCCCAGCTGGGTTAGGCTGGAAATAAATTGTTTCTGTGGAATTTCTCATGCCAGGATCCCAGGCTTTGGACGAAAGTGCCAACTTGGCATGAATAAAGGAAAATAACTTCTTCCCTTATCTCTGCTCCCAGAGCTCTGTAACTGCCACTGCAGCCAGATGATGTATTCATATTTAATGTGCCACAGTCCTTATTGAGAAATTGGGTGCTTTGTTTTTCACGGTGGCAGACTCATTTGGGAAGAATAGACCTGAATAAAAGAGAAGTTGCTAGGCAAGGCCTCGGAGAAAAAAAACAAAACAGCCTTTTTATGCCCCAAGGCCTAGGCCCATTGAAAATCCGGCAGCCCAGCTGTGAGAGCAGGGCACAGTGGACTGCAGGAGGGCTAAGAACGGAGGCAGACAGTGTGGGCTCCTGAGTCCAGGGCTCAGCGCGGGCTGCACCCCGGGCTGGGAGGGGCCTTGCTTGCGACAGTGATATGGGATCTTGTGAAGCCTGGGCTACAGGAGGCAGGCTCGGCCAGGCCTCACTGGGCAAACTGCACAGCAGCCCCCTTGTCTGCAGGGCATGCATTCCCAGAACCCAGTGGACACCAGAACCCACAAAGAGAACCAAACCCTATGCAGACTGTGCTTCTACTGTATGCATGGGCCTGCGAGTCAGGCGCAGTAGGAGGTCAGCAATAATAACCCATAGCCAGTAGGCACTACCACAGTGATACAGGGCAACGCAAGTCCATGAGCAGAGACAGCAGAACCCGCGTCCCCCGCTGTCCCATCCTGCTGTGGATCTCCCCAACCTTAGCACACAATTTGCTCTCTTATAAAATAAGTCAAGAACGTTCAACTTTCACTTAAAGGAAACATTTTCAGTTTCTCTTTGGCACAAATTGTCAGCATCACTACTCTTAAGCTTTGGGGTCATGATGAAGTAAAATAGGGTTACTTGAATGCAAGTATGGGGGGCCACCACTCTTTTTGAAAACCAAGCCCTGTGACTGACGGTCAGGAGGGACACTCAGTGTGAACATGATGAAGACAAGGGACAGTTCACACCCCAGAGGGAGGGAGCAGGATGCTGGAGGCTTCATCACCACACTCACATGTAGGTGTTTCTAGTGGCACCATTTAAAACTTAGGCATTGCTTCTTTCTGGAATTTTCCATCGGATGCATTTAGAGTTTGGGTGACCATCAGCAACCGAAACCTCAGAAAGTGAGATCTTGGAGACTCCAGAACTCAGAGTGACCAGGCTGAAGTGAGCAGGTCCACTCTTGTGTGCCTTGTCCACCCCAGAGGCTGTGCCTGTGGTTACGCCTTCCACGGCTCTAGGAGGAGAAAGGGGTATAGACCTGCACTGCCCAACGTGGCACCAGCCAGCTGTGGCTGATTACGCTTAAATTCAATAACATTGAGTACAATGATAATTCAGGTCCCCCGTCTCAGGAGGCCAGTGGCTGTCACAGAGGACAGTGCAGATGTGGGGTACTTCCATCTCCACAGTAAGTTCTAGTGGACAGAGCAGGTCTGAGGGGCCACTGGGGCTTTGCAGCCACTCTGGATGGTGGCCACCATGCCAATTTGCTCCCAGGCCCTTGACCTTCACGTCGTGGGCCGTGGAGGGGTCCCCCCTGGCCTAGCCAGGAGCGTCCCAAGGACTCTCGCCTTCAAATGGGTCAGGAAGCTTGGCAAGCTTTCCCAGAGGGTGAGCCATCGGATGGCCCGCACACGTGTCCACTCCTTGCACAATCTAAGGGTGGAGAGAGAGGACAGGGAGGGGAAAGAGGCCTGAAAATGACTGAGGTGGAGTTTTTCTTTAAGTTTGTAGAGTAGGAAATGAAGTCATATTTTATTTAATTTAGAAAAAATAAAGAAATAGAGCATTTTTTTCCACTTCAGTGGCTCTTGGGCAATTTCATTTGTTGCGTGGTCTGTCTTGTGAAAGCAGATGAGGAACAGCAAACATGTCCCTAAGGCTTGGTGCTGGAAGCCAAGTGACAAACCACAGACCTCCAGGCCACCCCCCTGCCAGGCAACGCCCTGTTGTCCCTCTTGGAGGGTCGTGCAGAAGGGGAAAGCAGCGATTTCTAAATCCAGTGCGTCTGAGATCTGCCTCAGGAACAAAGCAGGGTCCCCAACAGGGATGGGGTGGGGCAGCCTGAGGGGCTGGAGAGGGTGTTGGCTGAGGGTCCAAAAAGGGGGAGGCAGGACACAGCCTTGGCCCCGGGCCGTGGTACGGTGGGTGGGGAGCAGTTCAGGTTGTCAGAGCTGGAAAACCAGGAAATATTCAGGAGTCATGTGCAGGCCAGGGCACCTGTCCTGCTGAATTCTGTGCTGTGTGCCAGGACCTTGGGGACAGGAGCCCTGTGTGGCGGGCACAGCTGCAGCAAGGCCAGGGCAGGTCCTCGGTCTCCCAGAGCCTCTCTTTCCCCTTCTTGACCAACGGAAAGATGGTGCCACATCCCACTGTGACAAAAACTAGAAAACCTCTGATGTGCCTGCGGTCTGTCTTTTTTCCACCAGAGATTTACACTTCACCGTCTGTAAGACCAAGCCAGAGCCCAGAACCTTCACAAAGCTCCCGAAGTCTTCTTGGGCCCTTTAAAAACTTATTTGGATTTTGTAACATTAGGGTCTGGCTTTCTAATTCTCTCACAATTACATTATCACATTACATTTATTATCGTCTTTCTCCTTTATAAGCACCCCATTTGAGTGTGCGCAGATCTCTCTCTTTGTATATATAAGTCTACTGACCCGGTTTCCCCCTTGTGAATTTTAGACGATCGTATGTAGCGCCTCGTGAAGACCGGCAACAGGTTCTCAAGGAATTATTCTATGAATTCAGACAGACTAGAGGCCAGCGCTAGCCAAGTGTGAAGTCCACAGGGCACTGCTAGTCATCTGAGGTCAGCCTCCAACAGCCCCTCGGCCTCTCCCACGTCAGACACACCAACGTGAGGGGTCGTCAGGCTGGCACGTGGTGGCACTGGCAGGTCCTCTTCTCCACGCCTCGTAGCCGAGAGCCTTGGTGTTGTCTACACTGAAGGGGGCTGACTGGATGTGGAGTCAGAGGGAGGGTTGGTTCAAAAGAGGGCCCATCGATTCTAAATAATTTGTAAATACAGACAACTGCCTCCATTCCACCCCAGTGAAGTCAGCCCTGGCATTTATTCAACCCTCGAAGCAGAACATGTGGCCTCGATGTGTTACCAATTAGGTGTCCATTACTACCAGGCGTCAGGAACTTATCTTGCCCTGGAGACAGGAATGAACCCATATTTTAAACCACACTCAGGAAGAACACAGGAGAGGAAGTGGACGGGCTCGCTGTCCCTAGACAGGAGGAGACCTACTTCACTTCAGACCGGAAGGGTGGCCACGGGAGGGCTCAGGGACAGGGAAGGGGTGTGGGGTGGGCAGATGGCCAGCCACAAGCTAGAGTGGCCCGGCACCATCCCTGACTGCCAGGTGAAGGGTGAGCCCTAGTTTAAAGAAAGCTGGGACATTCGGGCAGTGGGGAGGTGTGTCCCAGGAGGCTGGCCGACAGTCAAGAGGACATAGGACGGTGACCTGCCAGGTCCCCTGGGTCTGGGTTG